TGCCAGGTCTTGACCATTTGACCTTCATAAAATCTTTCATGTTCATCCCCTTTCCTCCTCTGACAATGTCACCACTCTGGTTCAAGCCCTCATCATTTCACATTTAGATGGTTACAAAAGCCCTCTGGTTGACTTCCCTGACTCATGTCTCTCCCACTCCAATCCATCCTCAACACGGCTATTAAATGTTCTTCCCTAAAGCACAAATATTTTCACGCCACCTTCCTCTTCAGTAAAGTGTCTTCCTGTTACTTTCAGGATCAAATATAAAATCCTCTGTTTGACTTTTAAAGCCTTTCATAATCAGTGGAGCATACAGGCTTATCCATTGGTTATTTCTTGCCCTTGCTATGTGACAGCCTCTTTTTTTCTCCTCCTACATATTTTTTATTATATACTTTACTTCCATTGTAATAAGTTCTTCACTGGCAGTATGTTTTAGCCTACTCTTGCTCACCATATGCTTCTCCATTGTCTTGTGGGTGACCTGCAACTTCAGCTTTTGGAGCCTGTTATATTATTCCATTTCTCACATCACAGAAGAATATTGATTTTTTTTAATGGGTGTCTATTTCAGGAAGAAGCATGAGGTCCTTGATAGCATTGCAGTTTTCTCAAGTGCAATCTAGCCTATTCTCTTATTCAGTTCTGGGATCAGTTGCTTTTCCATTTACAATATCTATCTAAAATATGAATACTGATTGAACTGCTGTATGGGTTATCTCACTGAATATCCAAAAGTACTAATTCTTTTGCTTCATCATGTCATACAAATGATCCTGGTAACTCAGAGGTTGCTAGTAGAGAGCAAGCTGTACCATGCTAAAAGAAAAAAAAAGCTTTGAGGATGGTCCTGGCAACAGATTGTCTGCTTTCCAAGCACCAACATATCTAAATATGTACATGCTGATCACCAGTATATAGCCTTTTTAATGATGAATTCTTTGGCCAGGACAACCCATGAACCAAAAAAAAAAAAACAGTATAAGAGGGTCCTGCTGTTTCTGACGAAATGATGGCAGAGTAACAGAAAAGGGACATGGTGTGATAAGAATCACACAATTTTTAAACAATCTATAAATGCCATTAGAATCATAGGTACTCTAAATGTGAGATACTTAATGACCAAAAAGTGAATTACTGCTGGAGGACCTGAGCCATATTAATCTTGACATTCTTGTTAGAAATGAAATAAGACAAAAGGATGTTGTAGTTAAATGGAAGCGTGGTTCATGGGTTTTCTCCATAGAAGCATGTAAAGGAGTTGACAGGCTTGTGTTTTTAGATAGATATAGATATAGATATATACACGCACACACACACAATGACAACAAGATTAAACATTATTTTATAAGACACCATGGAGATTTGGTAGTCTCATACTGAAGGACTCATAGTAGGATTTGTAAAAAGACCATCATGAAGAGAATTGCAGCTTTTGCACCAACATGTGTTAAAGAGAATGAGGAAGGAGGGAAATTCTGTGAAGAACTCAGTAAGACCCTCCAAATTAAATAAACCAATACATACTTTAATACTCAGGAACTTTGAGACAAAGGTGAAGTCAATGAGAAATACATTGGAAAGTATGGTTCAGGAGCAAGAAATGAGAATCTAAAGACTTGAAAACTATATATAGAAGCTTCATGTGCACATACATGTACATGCATATACGTATATGTATATATGCATAAACATATATGTATGTGTGTATTTCATGAATACTTCAAAAAAGAGAGATGGGAGATTCTGAGCATGATAGACACTAAAGAAATCACTAAAAATGGGGGGCAGTGAGGTGGCACAGTGGATAAAGCACCGGCCCTGAAGTCAGGAGGACCTGAGTTAAAATCCAGCCTCAGACCAAACACTTGACACTTACTAGCTGTGTGACCCTGGGCAAGTCACTTAACCCCAATTGCCTTAAAAAAAAAGAAATCACTAAAAATGAATGATTATATTCTTATAGACAAGAAATGATTGGGCACTGATATGGGAATCTATGTGGTCAGCCCATTGATTTGTTTTTGTGAAGGGAAAGATCAAAATCAAATAGGGAATAAAGATGATAAGAAGATGTATAAGTGAGGCAACTCCAACCTTGGTTATTTAAATAAACTATTGACTTCAAAGAGTGGTAAAAATCAACACAGCAGAAAGGCCGAACAAGTAAGTCTAGAGACTGCTTTGTCTGGCAAACACTTAGTTTTTCCAAGTAGAGAAATAACATTCAAGGGCAACATCAATTTAGAATATAAACTTGCTTGTAAAAATCTTAAGTGAGGATGCTAGAATTTTATGAGCAGTACTGCCTCAGGACAGCTAACGTCGAATAGTGGATAGAGAATTGGCCTTAGAGCCAGGAAGACCTGGGATCAAGTGTCTTCCTGACATGTACTGACTGTGTAAGCCTGGGCATGTTGCTTAACCTCTCAGTGTTTATTTTCAGTCATCCTCATCTGGGAATTCCCTATGCCAATGATAGCTGAAGTTTCATTCCCTCGTAAAACAGACACACTGAAGGGAAAAAGAAGTTTAGAGAGTGTTTACCAAAAGACCCTTCAAGCTAGATCATTCCAAGGACATTTTAAGGATGAAAAAGAAAGCTCAAGCGACAGATGAGGAGGGAGGAATCTATTAAGATCATTATAACAGGCAGCAGCTAGATGGTGCAGTGGATAGAGCTCCAACTTTGGAGTCAGGAGGACCTGAGTTCAAATCAGGTCTCAGACCAGACACTTGACACTTACTGGCTGTGTGACCCTGGGCAAGTCACTTAACCCCAATTACCTTGCCAGAAAAAAAAAGATAAATATACCAAACGACTTTCTTCAACTACTTTCTTCATAACATGATAGTGCAGCCAGCAGATTTGGATCTAAAATCAGTTCCCGGGGTGCTAAAATCTAAGTACACAATAGCTACACAATTCCTCTTATTTACATTTTAGTAATCCTATCAAAAAAGGAAATGAGCTTAGTCTGGCATGGCCTGATGTTGATGAAGCCATGTGGCTCTGTTATCCATTCCACTTTCTAGGTGTCTACCAACTGCATCTTTAATGAGCCTTTCTAGAATTTTCCTAAGAATGAAAGGTAAATTCATTGGTCTATAGTGAGCAGATTGTTTTCCTCTCTTTTTTGAAAATCACCAGGATCTTTGCCCTTTTTGTAGCACAGATCCTGATTTCTGTGATCTTTTAACTACTGACAATGGATCCGTAATCATGTCTATCAGTTCTTTCATTTTAGTATCCAAGGATATAGTTCTTGTGAACCAGATGACTTGAATTCATCAAGAGCAACCAACTAGTACTGTCTCTTTATCTTGAGAATCAACTCCCCATTAGTCATTTCTGTGCTGTCATTTCCAATTCAACAGAGAAAAAGAGAAAAGAAGCAACCTTGCCTTCCCCTTCTCTCCATCCACCCCAAGCACAGGTCTCTTCATTCGTCCTTTTTCCCCTCTCAACACAGCTGTAAAATTCTTTTTTATATGACTATATGTAGTTTTGATTTCTTCATCAAAAAACTGTTCATATCCTTTGTATCAAGAGTGTTTATAATTATTATGTTCATGTAGTTCTTGGGTCTGTTTTGGCAGATATACTCTCAGACATGTTATATTGGCTACAGTTATTTTAAATGGAGTATCTCTCACTATCTCTTCTTACAGGGTGAATATATAGAAATGCTGATGATTTATGTGGGTTTATTTTACATCCTTCTACTTTGCTAAAATTATTGTTTCAACTAACTTTTTTCCTGAATCTTTAGGATATCCAAATATATCATCATATGTCTGCAAAAAAGAGATAGTTTATTACCTCATTTCTCCTGATTCCTTCCATTTCTTTTTCTTCTCTTATTGCTATTGCTAGCATTTCTAAAACAATATGGAATAATATTAGTGACACAGTGTAATTTTCCTGTTTATCTCTTTTGATTAAAGATATTAACTTTGTCAGAGATCTTGATTGCTACTCTTGATTTTTTAACATCAGCTGAAGCATAATAAATTCTGCTCCAGCCCTTTATTTTAACTATGTGTATCTCTCATTTTTTAAAATTTTGTTTCAGTATATTGTCGAATTTAGATTTTTAATCCATTCTGTTATCCATTTCCATTTTATGGGTAAATTCATCCCATTCACATTCAAAGTTATAATTACTAGCTGTGTATTTCCCTCCATTCTATGTTTCCTCCCTATTTATCCTTCTTACCCTATTTACCCTATCCCACCTCACTCCACTTCTGTTTACTTACTATTTACTTTTAATCACTACTTTGCCCTGCTTTTCCTTAATCCTCTCCACCCCTAAAAGAATCCCTTCCTCCTGTCCTCCCCAACCTCTACTTTAATCTACCTATCACTCTAAGAGTCTCTTCCTTATCTTCTTTCCCAAACCCCCCCAATTCTTAGTCTATACACCCACCTAAAAGTTCCTCCCTTAACCTGTTCCCTCACCCTTTTATTTCATTATAAATTCAGAAGACTTTTATAACCTTCCATACATACATATATATATATATATATATATATATATATATATATATATATATATATATATATATATATATATATATATATATATTTCCCTCTTTAACCCAGTTAAAACCTGTGAGAGTAAGGTTCCAGCACTACCAGCCCTGTACCCCCACTTGCTTCTTCTGTATCAGTTCTTTTTTTCCTCATGGGTGTGAGATAATTGCTCCTTTTTACCTCTCCCTACCCAGTTTTCTTTTTAGAATCAACCCATCATATTCAGCTTAGTCTGTCTTTTTTCAAACTACCCTAGTAATGACAGTCTTGAGTACTAATAACATTTTCACATATAAGAAGTAAACAGTTTGACCTTATTTAGCCTCTTATAGTTGGTCTTTAATGTTTATCTTATGTTTCTTCTCTATCTTGTATATTGAATTTTACATTGAGTTCTGGGTTTTTTGTCAAAATATTTGAAAGTCTCTCAGTTCATTAAATGTCCATTTTTTTTCAGGATTATACTCAACTTTACTGGGTAAGTTATTTTTGGTCACAACTCCAGCCCTTTTGTACTTCAAAATATTTTGTTCCTACGGTTTTTTAATGTGGAAGCAAGCTATTAGGTCTTGTGTGATCCTGATTGTAGTTCCTTGGTATTTAAATTTTTTTTCCTCATTGCTTGCAGTATTTTCTCCTTAACCTGGGAACTTTGAAACTTACCTATAATATTCCCATAAGTTTTCATCTTGGGATCTCTTTCAGGTAGTGATCCTTGGAGTTTTTATGTTTCTACTTTACCCTCTAATTCTAAAATTTCAGGGCAATTTTCTTTAATAGTTTCTTGTAATATTGTATCAAGACTCTTATTTTGATTGTAACTTTTAGGTAGTCCAACAATTCTTATATTGTCTGTCCTCCATCTGTTCTCCAGATCAGTTGTTTTTCTAATACCTTTTATGTTTTCTTCTATTTTTTCATTCTTTTGATTTTGTTTTATTGTTTCTTGGTGTCTTGTAATGTCATTAGCTTCCTCATGACCAATTCTGGTTTTCAAGGATTTATTTTTTTCTTGAATTTTTGGATCTCTTTTTCCAGTTGGTTGACTTTCTTTTCATAATTTTCTTGATTTTCTTGGATTGCTCTTATTTTTTCCTTAATTTTACCTCAATCTCTCTTATCTGATTTTTGAAATACTTTTAAAGTTCTTCCAAGAACTCTTTTTGGGCTTGTAACCATTTGACATTTCTCTTTGAAGTGGAATAACTTGTAACCATTTGACATTTCTCTTTGAAGTGGGATAACTTCACTATCTCTGAAGATGAACCCAGATCTTCTCTGTGCCCATAGTAGCTGTCTGTGGTCGGGTTCTTTCTCCTTTGCTTACTCACTTTTATTTTTATTTCGTTTATTTTCATTTAACAGCTTATTATTGTAATTGGGCTGTAGTTCTGAGGTGTGGAGAATGGTGCCCCAGGTCTCAGTTCCTTCTTACTGTTATTTTCTGAGCTCTGTCCTAGAGGCCCAACCAGAGGTACTCCTGTCTACCCCTAAGACACAGGTTAGTGGGCCCCCAGACATACTTGTTCCCTGGTCCCTCCAAACTTCCCCTCTCCCTTCTACTTTCCTGCCAATGGCCACAGCCAACCCTGGACTCACTGGGCATGTGCTTGCTCCTTCTTGTTCACAGGCTGGGGTATCTGTTCAGTACAGCTGGACCTGGCATCCTGATGTAGCAAAGGGTCCTTCAGTCTTCCCCTATTCAGCTGTAGGACCCCTACACTGTCTCTGAGATGAGAGTTCCTAAGGCCAAGGCTGTAGCCCAACCCAGCTGCCCCCAGGGCTTGTTGTTTGTTGATTTAGTGGAGTCTGCCTGGAGGTATTTGCACTTCACTCAGGCCAAACCTCCACCTCTTGGAGGTCCTGAGGTTCTCTCAGGTTATCTTAGGAGTACAACTGCTTTACCCTTACTTTATTTCTGCCACTCTATGTTCACTTTGAGGCAGTGTTCTGGGTTTTGTTTTGTTTTTTTTGGTTGGTTGGTTGGTTGTTTTGTGGAGGAAATGTGGAGAGTCTGGAGTTTTCTGACCTACTCCACCATCTTCCCAGAATCCTCTTCCAGACTTTTAATCACTCTTGTCACCCAGCTTGGCTTCTGTCTTCTGTCTACTTCTTTTTAAAAATCTGAGTAAATTGGTAAGTTCCATGTGTGTCCGCATTGTTCTCTTCAGACAAATCTCATTTTTCCTGCCCACTGGAATTAATTTCTGTTGTTTCTTCTTAATTTTATCTACCAGTCCTCTTGTGCTGACTTCCTCTTACTTTGATCATTAGCTTTACATATCTTTCCTCTGAACTTTCCTTATAACATGCTTTTCCAAAGTTCAGGGTGAGTATCAAGACTATAACCAGATTTCCTCTTCTCTTTCACAAATTCCAGGAGGTTTGGTCACTCCAAGGAACTTACATTGTATTGTATGAATATATTACATGCATGTTCACAAGTAAACACACAAATAAATAAATAAATAAATAAATTTCAAGGAGAGAGCACTAACAACTACAAGGATCAAGAAAAGGCTTCATGTAAGCAGTGACATGAGTTTTGCTTTAATGGAAGCTAGTGATACGAAGAAGTGGAGGTGAGGAGGGGATACATTCCAGACATGGGGTATCATCTGTGCAAAGGCATGCAGATAGGCTATGACAGGGGGCAGAGGCCATGTGACCCTCTAGGTCCTCAAGTGCTGCCCTTTGACTGATCCACACTTCACAGACTTTGACTAAATCCAAACTTCACAGAGCAGATTTCTTCTGTGAAGTTTGGATTCAGTCAAAAGGGACATACTGAAGGACCTAGCGGACCACATGTGGCCTCAAGGCCATAGATTCCTCATCCCTGGGCAACGGAATGTTAGAGGGGAGGACACAGCTATCAACCCTTTTCATTTGATTTCATACTATATAACCGTAGTCCAAGAACACATTGATAATTGTTGCTTTGAAATAATTTTTTCATATCATTCTTTTTATCTTTTAGATTTTTTATTCAAATTCCTGGTAATTGGAAATGCAGGAACTGGCAAATCGTGCTTACTTCATCAGTTTATTGAAAAGAAATGTAAGTTGTTATCTATATGTCACTTTTTCATATATGTGTGTGTAGGTGTGTTACATATGTACTGTTTTCTGACTGCTATTTTATTCGTATCTATTCATAATAGAACTTTTAAAATGTTTTCCTGGAACCACAGCTATGATCTAAAAGGGATTTTGTTTTCTTTTTCTTTTAAATTGCATGAAAGAAGAAATTTGATTTATAATATTTGTTGGGACATTTGGTTGAGGGCTTACAAAGTAAATGTTACAATTCTGTAGTGAAGTTTCATAAGCTAATATTAATTATGTTGACTATATAATAAAGAATTTATATTTCATATGTGCTATAGATAGCTACATTTTAGAGTTGAATTGAGATAAATAGATGTGGAAGAGAGGCTAGAGGAAACCATATTGTATATTGGCCCTACCAGGTTTTGTAGAAGAAATGGGATTTTAGGAGATTGGAATCTTGAGGATGTAAGTAAAGATGTGATATCTTTGGTAAAAATTTGTCAATAACTTAAAGAAAAAATGGCATGTATTAATAAATTAGGTTCTGTTTTTTAAGATAAATAGAAGTTGTAGGCTACAGTGTTAAAGTTGGTTTAGATAGTTTGACAAATGGCTTTGAAAATTATATTAGAGACTTTTTGCTTGATCCTGCCACTTAAAAAAAACCAAACAAACCAACCAGAAAACAATGGCACTGCAGTGAGTACACCCAAGGTTTCCCAATTTACTACAAATTCCCCCAAAAACCAAATAACCCTCTCAGGGTGGCTCTCTTTTTTCTTCTTATCCCATTAATTTTAGGAGTCCCTCAAGGTTCAGTCATGGGACCTCCAGTTTCTCCTTCTATACTAATTTCAGAACAATTACTAGTCATGTCACTTCAGCTATCACCTGAGTATGGGTTGTTCTCAGATCTCAGATCTAGAGGGAGGGTTTAAAAGTACCTTTGCAAGATGTCACATCTTGTTTATTCACACATGTGTTCACAGTTTGAGAATATCCACATAATTTGTTCGGTAGATAAAGAATTGGGTGAGAGCCAGCCACCTCGAAACCTAGACTTGGTAACATTTGATTAGTCACTTTGGTCAAAATAATGTTAAGGAAAAGATCTATCAAGTCGTTGAAGGTACAAATTATGTAGTCTTTTTAAAGCATAGCACAAAGTCAATACATTTTATTGATTGTTGTTTAACTTTATCAGCAGGCGACACGTTTAATTTTTATTACAGTCTACTGCCTGATTTTAGATACTTAACATAAAATGTGGGGGGCAGAACTTATTTTGAGAATAAATAAGTAAGACCAATTTTCTATACATGGAATGAACTTAGTGCAATAATATAAAATGTTTCCTTGTTTTGTGAAACCTGTAAAGTGTGTTTTCTAAATGTCCTAAAATTTAAAATTTTTTGTCTTTGTTCCCTTTTTTTAGTCAAAGATGACTCAAATCACACTATAGGTGTGGAGTTCGGTTCAAAGATAATAAATGTAGGTGGTAAATATGTAAAATTACAGATATGGGATACAGCAGGACAAGAACGATTCAGGTATTTTAAAATTTTATTTAAAATGTTTCTTGTTAGAATTAAAGCCATTACTTTTCCTTCTTTAACCTCTCACAAATCTACTCCTGTAATCAGCTGTTTTCTTTCAATGCATAGTTAACTTTCTTGGAATAAAGTTTAGAAATTTCCACCTTAGGGAACTCCTTTAACTTAAAAAAAAAGTTGCAGAAATTCAATTTTGTTTCCTATAACAATGATTTACTAAAGAATCTATTAGTGGTATGAAAATGAGTGCACTACTGAAAGCACCTAACTTGTTCCTAGGGAATATTTTATTTACTGGAAGAATCTCTTTCCTCCTAATTTTACATAAAAGTGGATACATTGCTTTTTTCCCCTATAAATTCAACCTATTTTTTTCCTTAACTCTTTTTTTAAGGTAAAGAGTCAAACATCAGGTTTAGTAAAAAGTCCCTTTTCCTCAGGGTATGTCTTAGTGTCATTATTCCATAAAATACCCTAAACTTTCTACATTTATGGTATTATATAATTATAATTCATATTTATAATATTGACCTAACCTTAAACTGTAAGATCTAAAATCATCAAAGATTAAATTATGTTCATTATCCTATATTAATGTGGAAAAGTGGATTGTTATATAACTCATCGGTCTGGGTATAAGATTTTTGTTGTTTAGTCGTTTCAGTCATGTCTCATTCTTCATGACCCCATTTGAGGTTTTCTTGGCAAAGATACTGGAATGGTTTGCTGTTTCCTTCTCTAGCTCGTTTTAGATGAGGATGAGAAACTGAGGCAAACAGGGTTGAGTGACTTGCTCAGGGTTGCACAGCTAGTAAGTGTCAGAGGTCAGATTTGAACTCAGGAAGAGGGTCTTCCTGACTCCAGGGCCAGCACTCTATCTACTGTGCCACCTAGCTGCATATAGGGCGTATAGGATATTCCCCCTAAAATGAGGCCTCTATAAAAAAGGATAAGATGTATACACATATTAGGAAAAATAATTCCGTAGAATTACATATAAAAATGTTTATTGTGGAAGGTTTTTTTTTTTACTAGAGAATTATAAATGTTTAGAGATAGAGGGACCTTAAAGATCATCTAGTTCAAACTCCTCATTTTTTTTTAATGAGGCAGTTAGAGTTAAGTGACTTGCCCAGCATCACACAGCTAATGAGTGTTATGTATCTGAGGCCAGATTTGAACTCAGGTCCTCCTGACTCCAGGGCCAGTGCTCTGTCCACTATGCTACCTAGCTGCCCCAAACTCCTCATTTTATAGATAAGGAAACCGAGGCCCAGAGAGGGGAAGAAACTTGCCCAAGGTCCATGGCTAATACATGTTAGAACTGGGATTTTGAAACCACATCCTTTGACTCTCAGTTCAGCCCTTTCCCCACTGTTCCATGTTATTACTTTTCTTTTTTTTAAAAATAGTATTTTATTTTTCTAATTATATATAGAACAACAATTTTTAACATTCATTTTTACAAAATAATGAGTTCCAAATTTTTCTTCCTTCCTCCCCACCCCCTTCTTAAAATGGTAAGCAATTTGATAATAGGTTATATATGTGCAGTTATTATTTTTCTGATTCAAATAAAAATATTTTGTTTGTTTTTAGCATTAATCCTTTCTTCCTCTTCATTAGATTCATTGTTTTCTTACTCCCTTTCTTCTCAAAATATGAATGTAATGTCCTGTACAAGTCAGACTTGGGAAAGATGGGTTGCCAATATTGAGACTATTCACTTTGTATTTTCAACAAGTATTGAGCCAGAAAATTTTACAAATCACTGTGAACATTCAAGCTAATTTTTAATTTTATTAAACAAAACTATAAATCATATTTAACTAAGACCAATATTCTGAAGTGTCTAAGTTTTATGTACTGTCTATGGGGTTTTTTTTAACCTCCACTAAAGTCCTATTCTAATGCTTCATCATGGCATGAGATGACCTTCATTCTTAAAGATAAGTTAGTAAAATAAAATGTAAGTTCTGTCACATGCTACCAAGCTGAAAAACTTTTAAGTACAAACTCATTAATAAACTATTCAGTGGTGGGCTATATCTCTACTGTCTGAGTACCAGCCTAGCTATGATGGAGTGACTTACCTCCTGAGTGATGAATTTTTCAGTCACAGCCACTCGTAAAGACCACCTATTAAGTTGTAGTTGAAGGGGCAACTAGGTGACACAGTGGATAGAGCACCAGCCCTGAAGTCAGGAGGACCTGAGTTCAAATCCGGCCTCAGACCAAGCACTTGACACTTACTAGCTATGTGACCCTGGGCAAGTCACTTAACCCCAATTGCCTGAAAAAGAAAAAATAAAAATAAAAACAAAAAGTATCAAGTTGTAGTTAAGTTTCAACCATCACCAGTGAAGGGCATAATCCACACCAATGAAATCACAGAATCTTGAAGTGTTAGGTGTTAAGTGTCAAATTCAGTACAATATTTAAAGATAAAATATATTATTACTAAATAATTATAGCCTACCAAATAGCCAAAGTTGGACTGCTGAAATTGAGACATGTTGTTTCAAAGTAATACCATTTACTTTTAGCTAAATAAATAACATAGAAATGGAAGTTTTCTAAAGTATTTCCAAGATAAATCTTTTAATACAGGTCAGATAATTTTGATCAAGGATATAACTAATATATTTGGTAAAAACAAAGTGGATGAAAAACATGATTATTCAGAGGGTCTTTTTCCAAAAATCATTAATGCATTAGAATATGCCATCTTGGGGGCCTCCATTCTTGCCATAATATACTGCAGGATTGTCAACTACAGATTATGGAATTTTTTTTTAGTGAAAATCATTTTAGTAATTGAAAGAAGAGTTTTTTGATGTTGAAGGTGTTCAGTCATCATTCCTTGTACCATCTAATTTCAACATATGCTATTCCTGTATTTCTAGGACATTAATGTATTTTCCCCTACCTAAAAGTATACCAAAGGTATCTTTTCTGCCATTTCCTGGCATTTTTTTGACTAACTAATTATTTATATTAGTAGTTTATTAATGTATTGAATTTTTTAAGTGCACTGTGTCATTTGTCTCTGTTGAATTTAATAGTATGTTACCATTTCTTCAACATGGCAAAATCTTTTTTTGTATTTTATCATATAAAAATAACTAACCAGGCATTCTAAACTAATATCCATCACAAGTTTAATATTTTATGTATAAGTTAAAAAATGTCATATAGAACCAAATATCAGAAAGATGTTTATCAAATACTCAGTTTACTTTCCTGTATTGGAACCCATTGATATAGCCAACCACTTCTACATAATCATTCAGTAGTCACATAGTCAAAACTAGGCTTATAAGGAAGAAAATTTCATACAAAGAGCTATAGGAAAATTTGAGAAGATGGAGATAAGATAACTTTTATCTGGAGTAATTGGTGGAAGGCTTTGATTGGTGGAAGGCTTTGTAGAGAAGATAACACTTGTAGAGAAGCTGGGCCTTGAAGGAAGAGTACAATTTCAGTATTCAGAGAGGTAAGGCGAGTACATTCCAGGAATAAGAGATAGCCAGCTGGCATGTGCTGAGACAAGATAATACTGGTTGAGATTAGGAAACAACTAAGGATGAGAGAAAGGGGAGAGACAGAGTGAAATAAAAATGGAAAGCTAAGCTAGTTTGGAGCCAGCCATATTTTATCAGGCCTTAAACACCAGAAAAAGAAATGCTTATTTTAATCCATAAGTATTAAGGAACCACTGAAGATTTTTGAGGAAGGAAAAATGGTGATACTTGTGTGATATGAAAGATTATTTTGGCAATTGTATTAAGTATGGATTGGAGAGTGAAGAGATTGGAGTCAAAATGACCACCTAAGAAGCTGTTATAACAGGCCAGTTGAGAAATGAGGGCCTTTTAAATAGTGATGGCAAGGTGAGTAGAAAGGAGAGAACAGACATGACAGGGATTGTGCTGATAAAATAGATAATGACAGCTGATTGAATGTGACAGAGAGGGTAGAGTCCAAGTTAACCTCCAACGTGACTGGGAAAATGGTGTCACCAACAAAAATAAGAAAGACAGGAATAAGAAACAGCTTTTAGTGGAGGAAAGATGGCCAGTACTCCTCAATGTAATTTAATTTGTGCCTTTCCTTTTTAGAAAGTACTACCATTACAGCTAAGGAATTTCTCTCTCTCTTGTAAAAGGAACTTGTTTTTATGACATACAGAAGACAATGGGGGAAAAAAGTCTAGCCTACTTTGTATTGTCCTAGCTCTGAGGTTATTTTAAGAGAAACTTTGAATAAGATACTCTTTTCTGCCCTCCCACCATCTTCCATTTTCTATGGCTTCTCTATTCCAGTAGCACTATAGAGTTTAGGGGTAGGAAAGACACTTAATTTCCCCTCTACATTAAATGCCTACCAGCCTGACTCCATAGTATATAAAAGGTAGGAGAAATTCCAAACCCCCAGCCTCTTTTGGGGCTCAGGTGCCTAGCAATTGGGTGATTGGGGGCTACTTACAAGATTCTGAACTATGTTTTTGTGGTGCATATTCTATAGACCACACCCAACATCCAGCTCTTCACTTGATTCAAGTTAACTTGTCAGATCTACCTACTACAGATACTTTAATCACTAGCAGCTTTACTTTAATTTCTAGACTAGCAAAATGATAGGAAACTGATTGGATGTGAGGGAGAAGAAAGATTTGCAGATAACTGTAAAGCACCAAGCCTCAGCAACTATAAGAATGGTGCTATCACCAAAAAGAATTAATGAAGCTTATAATTTTGGTCACATATTGCTATGACTTCTGTACTTCACAGGCACTCTAGAGCTAGGAATAGAGAAAACTAATTCGGAGCAGTGAATCAGTCATTGCTCTTATCCATTGATGATATGAGCAGTTAATCTTTTCCAGCTATAAATTAACAACATTAAAATCACCTTCTTTGTGAATATGGGAGAGATTTCTTGAAAAGGAATTGAGGAAGTGAGTCTTATTTTAGCTGATTAAGTTCATTACTACTCATTATAAGGCTAATCAAATTTTGAAAATACTCTATAGTATGTGTCTCTGCTTGAAGTCAAGATACTAATATTTCTTGCTTTCTGCCTAAGTATAATGTTTTCTGCTCATTTTAGAAGGAATTTCAATTGGTCTGGCATGGTTTGTTCTTAACAAGAAAAACATCTTGGTTGTTATTAACAATTCTTGGACTTTATGATGTTTTAAGAATTGGTTTTATTTCCTGAATTTTCCCTAATTAAAGTAAGGTTTCTTTCCCATTTTTCATGATAAGCATTATTCTAGCTCTTTTTCTGTCTTCAAATAGCTTCTCTATATGTAGTTTCTTGATACATCTAGCTGCTTTAAAGTAACTGTGTCTATTTCATAAGCTAGAGAGAATAGGGATGCTATTTAACCATGCTGCCCTCCCAATATTGATAGCAAATGCATTGGTTCTCTCTTAGAAACATTAAAAATAAGTGCTTCTAAGTACTTATATATCTTTATAATTTGTAATTCACAGAGCTAAAAGCTATATATTTTTCTCTTTCTTTGGAAACATCTTGTTTAGAACAGTAGTGAAAATCTGTTTGAATCTGTTAATAAAGCTAATCTAATTCTTTCAGGTCTGTGACAAGAAGTTACTATAGAGGTGCAGCAGGAGCTTTGTTAGTCTATGACATTACCAGGTAATTCAAAATTTACTTATAGGAAAAGAGTGTGGTCTTTGTGTTCTGCTTCCTATAGTCTGAAATTCATGCAATCTTTAGTTTCACAGATTTGTGATTTTTTTTTCACTTCAATTTGCATAATTTGGAGCTTATTAAATATACTTGACCCTTCCTCTGTGGTCTCTGGCAAGCTACATCACCTTTCAGTATTTCTGTGTCTTTCTATGAAATATAGCGTTATTTCAGTACATATGGTATTCTCTGAATTATTATTCATAAAATATCTGTAGGTACATATACAGGTGCTTTTAGATGAAAAAAATGAACATTATTTAATGCATTTCTTAATATGCTGTTTTTTGGTTCCTATAAGTGTTAAAAAAAATTGACACATTAGGCCTCATTAGTAGTTTGCTTAACAATAAATATTATTTGTGAACAACATCAATTTATTGAGAGCTTACAGAACAGAACAGGTACTTGAATGCTACCAGGAAGTGGGCCCTGTCATTCACTTCCCACAGTTTGCTTTCTGAGTCAGGAGTGCTACAACAAAAGGACTGATAACATAGATAACATTGATAACGCCTGCCCAAACACTGTACTCACAAGGAAACAATTAAATATGATTGTTTAAGTCAATTTTTTTAACATACACCAGTACTGATAACTTATGTAGTATTTTTTGGCCCAGACTGAACTTACATGACATATTAGCAAAAATAAAAAAAGCATTGAAGTGAGAAGAAATCAGATCCTTAATGCCAGAAGGCTCAGTTGCATTAATTGATGCAAAAATTTGCTTGGTCTTTTGAGTTTTTCTTAAATTTCCAGTCCTTCTTAAGTCTAGTAACTTATGAACCAGATTTTACCCTTAGATGCACAACTTCTTATTTCTTCTCTTCCCAGTGATTAAAACTAGTTAGTGATGACAGAATGTTAACATAACAGATTTTTTTTTTCATTTTGTTTTTGTAAATTCTTATTGTGGTTAACTAATTGTTTGGGGGATATTGTTATGATAAGGATGTTAAGTAACTATAACATCTTTTAAATGTTTAATAGTATGCTTGATTTAAAATTAAATCATATTTTACAGACTTCATTTTTTAATTTTGTGATCTTATATTTTGCAGCCGAGAAACCTATAATGCACTTACCAATTGGTTGACAGATGCAAGAATGCTAGCAAGTCAAAATATTGTCATAATACTCTGTGGGAATAAAAAAGATCTGGATGCAGATCGTGAAGTTACTTTCTTAGAAGCCTCTCGGTTTGCCCAAGAAAATGGTAGGGGAACTATTAAATACCACTTCATTTCCATGTTATATTTTTTATTAATATGATATGTGTTTGAGTCTACCTGAACTATTTTTATTACAATATTTTGAAATTGTGATAGGTTTTTGCTATATTATTGAATATGTAAGAAGAGGAGACAAAGTTCCTGACCTCAGTGCTTTATTGCATAGCATTAGAACAAAAGAGAAGGAAACTCATTAACAACAGCTAGGCGGGTGGTAAAGGAGAAATGCTCAACCAGCCTAACTGTTTTGTTGTTTATGAACAGATCTGATAAATTATTTGATATAAGAAAGAAAGGTAACAGTGGCATAGAATGAATGATAGATAGCTTGTGCTTGGATGTTCTGAGTTGCAGTGGGTCTAAAACTGATTGGCATCTCATTAAGTCTGATATCCATTTATATGGTAAGCCCCTAAGAGGGAGATGTAACCAGGCTGCCTAAGGAGGAATGAACTGGCCCAAGTCCAAAGTGGAGCAAGTCACAGCTTCCTTCCCAGTTGCTAGTAGAGTTGGGCCTCTGTGTGGCCTCTGCATTTTCAGCCTGGGAGAGATAGGGAGCCCTGGTCTCAAAAACAAACAAAAATCATAAACACTGGGAACAGAAATGGAAAAGTAAGCCAGTCCCTGCTCTCAAGGAGCTCACATTCTAACAGGGAAAGACAACACATATAGGGAGTATCAGCTATAAATCAGATGAAAAGGCCCCCGTGGTGTTTAAGGTGCAGCAGCAAAGCAAGTGGTAATGCATCTTCTTTAATGTTATTTTCAGTGATAAACCATACCCCTTCCTGATGCTGAACCATTTGACAGGACAGTGGCTTTCTTTTCCATGTCTTTAGTATCTGGCTGCTTAGGAGACATGAACTGAAACCCAGAATGAAGTAGCTGCTCAGTAAACATCTCCACAAAGGTTAATTCCCTGGATGGCATTTGCAGGGCATGGGCTAGAAATGCACCCAGTGGTCTGGGGACACAGCTGTTTCCAAGGTTCTTAGACTTATCTGCTGGTCATCAACAATTGGTCAACAGTTGGTATTGGTAGTAGCAAGAATGATCATGAGTCCAGTCTCAGTGATGACCTGTTCTTCCCAGGTTTCTTGCGCTCCGGGTCCTGGGCTTTCTCCATTGGGACTTAAAGGGAGATGGTAGTCAAGGTGGTGATTATATATATATAAAACCTTCCCTGACAAGGTTAAGAAAAGAATATGCAGAAAGAAGATGAGAAGAATCAGATATCCAACCTAGCCCTCTTCTTAGATTTTAGATCCTATGCACTAATTTATGACAAGGATATGCTGCAGGACCTCAACGTACTCATTTCCAGGTCATACCAGCAACCCCTCCTTACTCTTCTTGCTGCACATCTCATCCTGGGCTCCTTTAATATTTGAGCTGTGAAACATTCTATATCAGCTGAAGCAAACATTGAAACCAATGATGAATGATGGGTAAAGAAGGAAAAAAACCTCACCTGTACCCAGCCCTTGGCCATATGGTTCAGGGTTAGGACTAGATTATGTAGCCTGGCAACAGGATCTTCACCACATAGTATAGGGATATATGAAGCAAGTTAATGATGGTGATGATGATGATGATGATGATGATGATGATAAATAATAAACTAAAAATAAGTGAAAAGTAAAGCGATATATGGGAAATGGTAGGTTTGTTTGCTTGATTTCTTTTCTAATTGAAGTCATAGGGTGATAGCTTTAGAACCGGAAGAGACCTTAGGGATTGTTTAACCCAGCCCCATTCTGCAGAGAAAACTGAGGCCCAGATTCGTTAACTTGGCCTAAGATCACACCAGGTAGTATAATGGCAGATTAGGAATTTGAACTAGGTCCTTTGACTCCAAATCCGGTGTTTCCAAATCCACCACACCAGATATGTTCACCTTTTCACAATCCACTAACTACAAACAGAATAAATGGGAATGCCTTTGAAACAACCTTTAATGGTGAAATAATGTATCTATGAAAAGTATCACTTTAAAAATAAAAACTGTTAGTATCTAACTCTGCTTTCAGCATTGTCTTATACAAGACCTAAAGGAAAAATAAGTTTACAATACACAAGTGAAATTATTTGGTAATTTTGACCATGTTGTTACTTAGTAACTTCAGGTGGGCCAGACTGTGAAACTAGTATTACTTGTTAGACGATTTTGTCAACAAATTCTTATGTGCTAACCTAAAGTGATAGTGATTTTTATGTTCACAATAAAATAGCAAAGAAATGTAAATTTCAGCGAAATATTTTTATGCTTGGACAATCTGAGTGTTAGGCCAGAAATTACCTTTCTGTTGTTCTTTTTAAGAGAATATCATGTACAGATTTGATTGTGGCTCAGCAACTGTCATTATTCTAATTTGGGGTTTGTATTTTGTTTCTGTTACATCAAATATAGAGCTTATGTTTTTGGAAACAAGCGCGCTAACAGGGGAGAATGTGGAAGAAGCCTTTGTTCAGTGTGCAAGAAAAATACTCAATAAAATTGAATCAGGTAAAAAAAATTCTGTTAGTAAAATGTTTGATAAATTTGGCTCTGTAACTCTCCTTACAAAGTTATTTATCGTGTATATATGTGTTATATGTATTTATATATATCATACATATATATTATATGACAAGTATTGCTTATCAGTATTTTTAGGAGAAATTTAGGCAAACCATACTTGCCTAGGGTGTCAAACAAAAATTGCCATTACTTGATTAAATGGGTACGGTTTTGATCCCCATAACTTTTCTGTTCTTATAGTAGATGCTTGAGCCTTCAGTTATGGTAAAGAGAGAATAATTCCCCTCAACTGTGGAGATTAGTAATGCTATTAGCAAAAGAATAGCGTTATGCTACCCACCTCCAGACAGGTGATGAATCCAGGGTGCAGAATGAAATATGTTTTGGACATGGCTGATAAGGAAATCTGTTTGTTTGACTGTGTAGCCCTCTTATAAGGGTTTTATTTTTCTTTCTTTCTTTTTTCAATAGGGCATAGGGAGGTAGAAAATAAAATTTTGTTCACTGGAAAAATATTTATTTAACTTTAAGATTAAAAAATAAAGTGATGGTACTGTAGGTCATGAAAATTTTGGGGTTTCTTTTTTGTTTGTTTTTTTTACTTCAATTAGAGCTTTTCCTGGACTCATTGGATAGAAGAAGAAAATAACTTTCTGTATTCTTCTCTCATCAGGACTGATTCTATTAAAACTAGTTGTCATATATAGCAATTTTATGGCAGGAAACAATGTCAGGAAACCCTTTTGTTTAATAGTCAAGAAGTTGCATATTCTACTGTATTGTTGGAACAGTTTCTAACTGAAGGCCATTCTACATGTATGTGTGAGTGTGTGTGTATGGGTGTGTATAGATACAGATAGATATCGATATATCACATCAGGTCCAGTTTCTGACCTGTAAGCCTACACTACCTGTGTTGTAAATTAACTTATTGATCACTATTTGTTGCTTCAGTCAAATCAAATTAAAAATAATTCAAATTTAGCCTACTGAATCTATATTCATTTTCCATAAAATCATGATTCTCTTTTAAACTAGCACTTTTGAATAGATTTCCTATCCAGCTTTTGTAATTAAAACTACACATATATATGTATGTATGTATGTATGTATATATATATTATGTATGTTTATATATGCATTCAGCTTTTGTAACTAAATCTTAAAACCAGAAATTTATAGAGTTAATGGTATTAGTGTATACATTATTTTAAATCTTAGTTTAATGCTAAATGACTTTGAACATATAACATGAAATTTTATGTAGGATATTTTATTGCTTTACTAGTCTATCCTTAGATGATATGTTTGTTATCTCATAAGACATCTCTGAAAATTAATTCCTTCTGGGATATTAAACAGAATTTTGATATCACTTCTGTATGTAAATGTAAAGATAAAATCTAGGGTTCCTAAGTATTATTGATAAGATGTTAAGTGGATAAGTCATTACAGAAACATAATCTACCATTACCATATTTCTTTTATTTCAGAGACCTTGCTCCATCAATCATTCTTTCTCCTCCTCTTCCCTTCTCTATTTCCTCTCAATCTATCTCTGTCTCTCCCTGCTTCCTTCCCCCTTCTCTTTGACCCCTGTCTAATCAATTGCCATGGAATCTTACTGGTTCTACTTCAATGATACGTCTTGTATCTGGCACTAATTTCCACTCCCATTGTCAATACCATAACTATTTCAAGATGAAATTACTTTTCTCCTAGGCTTTTGCAATTGTTTGTTAACTGGTCTCTTTGCCTCCAATCCTTCCCTTTCTAGTCCATCCTTGTTATAGTTGCTAAAGTAATCTTTCTAATATACAGGTCTCATCATTTCAACTTCCTCAAAAATCTTCAATGGCTCTCCATTAGCTAGGAAATAAAATAGAGCCTCCTTAAACTGGCATTCAAGGCTCTCCACAATTTGCCTCCAATTTTCTTCTCCTTTCAAAGTAGCACTCTAGCAAAATTTGGAGCACTTGTCATTCTTTGATATCATCCCACCCTCTCCCACTACCATATATTTCCAGATATTGCTTCCCCTGCTTGGAATGAACTCCCCTCACATCTGTGCCTGTTGAAATCCTTTTATTCTTTCACAGCCTAGCTCAAATAGCACCTTTTCTATAAAGTCTTTCCTAAATTATTCTCTCTCCTCCCCCCCAACTAGAAATGATCCTTTCCTCCTAGATTCTTTTATGCCATTATGTTTCATTCCACTCCTATGCATTTAGTCATATTCTGATTTGTATAATAATTATTTGTGTACACATTTCCTCTCAACTCTTCATAGTTTATAAAGTATATGAGGGACTGTGTTGCTTTGTATCTTCACTATTAAGATATAGATAGATTAAGTTTTAAAGTATTTTTCAAACAAATATTGGTTGATCCCCAGGTGAACTGGATCCAGAAAGAATGGGCTCAGGTATTCAATATGGAGATGCTGCCTTAAGACAGCTTAGATCACCACGTCGCGCACAAGCCCAAAGTGCTCAAGAGTGTGGCTGTTAAAATTTTGGACACTATAAAAACCTAAGGTAGGTTTTGGCAAGAAGATAGCTTTGCTCCTCTTTTGATGTTTAACTTTAATCTGTTTGCAAGCTACATAGCTTTTTACATAGTTTGCTGCTTATGAGTATGTTGTGACTTTTACAGATTGCTAGGTTGTAAAAAAAGAAGGGGTCATGTGGTAGAGAGCTTGGTGTCAGAAGCCCTAAGGGAATCCCACCTCTGCCACTTACTACCTTCAGCAAATTATTTCAACTGCACCTCACCTTCCTCAGCTTTTGAATGAAGGGATCAAACTAAGTGATCTCTAAGATCCCTTCCAGCTCTGTACCTGTGATACTGTGATCCCATTCTGGTAGAAATGTGTTGTAAATGTGTGGGAAATTTATCTGCCTGTTTATTTCTGTTTCCCTAAGTGAAAAAAGGGGGGGGGGAATCTTCCTTGATGCTTTGTCGTGAAAACATGCCATTAACATTTTATGTTTTTAAAATAAGCATCCTTAAATATTCTCCACTTACTTAATATACAAAAGCTTTGTTGTTTTTGTGATTTTCATTAAACAGTGAATCTTTATGTTTTAATTCCAAGTCATAGATTCTTCTGAAAAAATCTATTAAAGCCAATTGGTAGTATCACCATCATTGGTAAAACACAAATTTACTTTATATTTCATGGGCTAATGAAAATCTGATGAGATCAAATCTCTTTAGGAAAAAGAAATCTCATTTATGTAGTTTTAAATGGAAATCATATTTTTTTTAATCAAAAGCTTTCCCTTTTTTCTTTCCTGTTGGCCACAAACTGTTTCTTTCAGTTCTTACTACGAGTCACATGCTAACCAAAATCTGTTTTAAAATGCATAGTCACGATTTGTTTTGTTCTTAATGTTTTCTAGCTCTATATACAAATGATATTTGGGAAGCAACTGATGAAGCTTCAAGGTTCTGCCGTTTTTATCACAATCTTTCTACTCTGTGTCTGAAGTAAACCATTGCTGGGGGAAAAATAAAAGTACTTCAAGGTGTTATGCAAGATAGTCAATATGGCACAGCAGATTATATAATAAATCTAATTCAATGGACAGTACAATTAGATGTATACATAGATGTAAAAATTTTCTGTTCCACATTTTCCCTTTCACTTTTCATTTAAACATTGCTGTATCCTGCCTGTATATACTGTAGTGCAGTAAGTTTCCAAAGCATGGTATATGATGTATGATATAATAGAATGTTGCACTAAATGCAGTTTAATATTTTTTTTAATCATACAAACTAAAATTTGTTAATTGTGAGGAGCGCTTTTTATCATCATGTTTGTGTTGTATTGCACATTTGGTTATATTTATGACCTGAAATACAAAGCCACTGGCATTGTTGGTCAGTGCATTTCCTATTTAATTTTTTTTTTTTGCCACATGCTACACAATGTTTACGTGATTTACACTTGAAATACAATGAGGTCATTACTTTAAAGTTCACTAATATAAAAAAATAAAATTGGAAAATGATTTTTCCATTGAAAATGCACCTGTACAGGTTTCTGTTGGTTTTTGAGGTATTTTCCACGCTTAGCCAAACATACTAAAAACATATATTATACTCCTTTGAAAAATTTCATTTGACCTTGGATCTTCAAAACTCTTCATTTATAAACATAAACAACAGAGTCTTTTTTTTTTTCATCTAGCTTAATGACTAGAATCTGGATCATTTGGGGGTTGGTTTGTTTGTTTAATCAACATCATAGCATCAATGTCCCTACTCTGTTATGTTATTATTTCATGACCATTCTTTAGAAAACTATTACATTGAGCTAATTTTAAGAAATTTTTAGATAGTTTCCCCAGATATCTAAGCTTCCATTCTTATATTTTTTTCTGTCATGGCATGCATTTAAAATCATAGTAATGATGTATGATGAGTTATCTGTGTATCTCAGGTATGAGTCAAAACTACACGATACAAACATACATGAGTTCAAGCTAAGATGCCTTATTGCAATTCTCGCTTTTCGGTGGTTTTTAATTCACGTAACATTATCAACATGTAAATTATATTTTCAATTTTAAAAAAAGAATTGTTCTAACATTTTAATATATCACTACTTTAAAGGAATCTCTCTATGCATATATGCTTATGTGGGTATATAGTCAATGGAATGTTTATACTTAAATGCAATTTTAAGTCTGGTACTAAAAGTACAAAAAACATTCTTCAGCTTACATATTTCTTGTTCTTTCCTTCTCTGGTGACTTTTCCTTGTTGTAAGTGATTGATAGCAGCCACTCAGTTCATCTCACTTGATCTTTTATTAAAAGCCATTCACTGTTCTGATTTACTAATGAGCTGAGATTGAGGATGCAGCTAACAAATGAATGATGGTTTTGGTGAAGGAATCAGTATGTATTTGTTTTAGGCATTTTCACTTTGCTTTTAGTGCCTTCAGTATCTTATTTTGAAAAATGTTGAATGAGATTCTCAATTTAATATTTTTCTTGGCAATTTAAGTTAAGGAAATACATTTCACTCAAAATATTCTTTTCCTTTGACCCCTCACTTTTGAACGATCTGTCAACTTGGATTCACTAATTTTTAGGTAGCTTTTTTGCATGGAATTATAAATGTTTTTAACAAGATCTTATGTCAGCGTGAAAAAAAGAGCTTTTAATTTTGATTAAACTTAAAACTTTGGGGTGGAAAGTAGATTGACTGTATTGCTAAACCACGGCTACTGTGTGCCTCTTTGCAATGATAAAAGCTTCTGGCAAACTAAGCCAGTAAGGACTCTTGCTACTGGGAAGCAGGAATAGGAGAGCGAAATTGTTCAGAGTTACTTATTCCAGTAACTAAGTACTGGTTATGGGACTATCAAGAAGCATTTGCTTTTTCAGCCCCTCGATTATTTGAATGGTAGCAGAGCTGAAATTTTAGAATACGTGCTAGAAAAAAATCCTGAGGTCTGTTTGGAATTAGAATTGTGGATTAATTTTTAAAATTTACTTCTTCATTGGTAAGACAAAAGAATCTTCAGAGAAGTGTGTAGTTGTCATTATATTTAGACTCTTTTAGAAATCTAGTTAAGGAAACCAATATTTTTATACAGGGGTATTCCAGCAAAATTAGAAACTCTGATGATTTATTTCATACTGCAATAAACTGCATCTATTTTCTGTCTAGTTCAAAAGATTCATATGAATGCTGGACTCATTATGTACCAACAAGTATCTTTTTGCTAATGTAACTATTCTCATACACACAGCTGTATGGCCTCCTTTGTTACTCTGTAACTTTTGCATTGGATTAACATCCTGCAAAGGAATTCATGCAAACGGTGGTCCTGCCACAGTTACATTGAGGGGGATGTGGCTGAATTTCTGAGCTCTCAACATCCTCCCTCTAAGACTTATTGATACTGTTTATTGATATAAAGTAACCTAGGTAGGAGTCTTTTCTAATGCAATCATTACAAATCTAAGAACTAAAATACTTCCTCCTCCCTTATTTCACTATTATAAAAGACTGATATTTCAGTCTTAGAACTGAAAAAATAAATCTTTTTAAGAAGTAGAGCATTTGTATTGGTGGCCCAGTAATTAAATAGTATGGCATTTTCATGGAAACCTACGTGGTTCAGGTGTTTTGTATTTAAGGCATTTACATTCTTAGTGAATGCCATTTTTGCCTAAAGAGACTTTCTCCCAACCCCTGTATTATAAGTAGTATACTTAATTGTTAGAATGTTCTCATGTGTCTCCTGTCTGTTGTAATTACTGAATCATATTTTTTATTTATAAAGAATTTTGTAATGGTAGGCATGTAGCTTGAACATGTGCTTATTTAGCCAACTTAAGGCAAGAGTTTAGTCATATCATAAACTTATTAGATTCACAAAAAGATTTGTTCAGATTCTAGGATTGCCACTGTATGTGTACACAGTTTGTTTTTCAGGCTTTCAAGGCACAAAAACATTCCTCTTTCTTTTATTTTGATCTACACTAAAACATTTGTGGAGGACACGCCATGTTTATTTCAGTCCTAGAAAGCTTTATGAATTTTGAATAGTACTGGAACAGCCATATACTTTGTTCTTCTGAGCACTGGACCCACTACAGGAAAAATGCTAAAAGAACAGCTTACTCCTTTTAAGAGTCATCTTAAGTTTATCCTCAGAGTTTAAAAAAAAAGTCTTCTGAAGACTAAGGTAGACGCAAAGGCAGCACGAAAAAGCCACATTTCACCAAAATAACAGTCTCCTTTTGTTAACTTCAACTTATCTTCCTTCCACAAGTTGTTTAAGGTACTGAGATATAAGCCTTAAAATAAGCCTGGTATGTTCAATTGGGAGGAGAAAGAGAGGGCAAATGAAGTTGTTAATCCAATCAGTTAAATGATCCAAATATTCAGAGAAGTTAGATCCATAAAAGTTTGATTCTTCACTTCACAGCTTCCATACCTTCATTTAAAGAGAACTGACAAAAATAAAAAATTTAAATCTGCTTATGGCACTAAATAAACCATTTTTAAAATACATTTTACTGATATCTTTTGCTTTATGTTACCTAATTTCCCTAATATATCCCTCCCTTTTCCTAGATAACCTCTGCCCGAGTACTTCCATTAATGGGGAATTGACTACCTCACACAGAGGACACCCCTTTTTAAAGCATTTCTGTTTACTATAAGACTAGGGCCTTAACATTTGGAATGGGGTTCATATAAAATATGAAATGAGATTCTTGGGAAGATAGCCTTAATTACACATTTGTACATTTTGAATTTATTTTTAATTTTAATGGACCAGATCTATGATGTTGTTAGGAAGCTCTAGGTGGGGAACTTGACCACCCCTGACCAGGCTTGAGTGGCTTGCCCACGGTCACATAGCCAGTGTGCCAGAGGCAGGGCTTGAATCCAAGACCAGCTCCCTGTCTACACCCAGCGCTGCTTCTCTGCTACACATCTGTTGTGACTTAATTGAATATATGAACTTTCCTGATAGTTTATGGCACTTTTTGAATGACATTAATCCAGATCTCAGTGTAGGAGATGTTTTATACCCTCTATTAGAAATGACAGGCTTCTACATTGAGACAAAGGCCAAAAATGTCACTGACACCATAGGACTTAGAGGTGGAAGTGACCTTAGAAGGAATGGAGTGCAACCTCCAATTGTTAAAGATAAGGGAACTGAAGCACATAGAGGTTAATTGACTTACCTAGGGCCAAATGGTTATGTGTCTATGGTAAGATTGGAAGCCAGGCCTTCCTGGCTCCAGACCACCTTAAAGATCATCTAGTTCAGGGATGTCAAACTCAAATAGAAACAGATCCCTGATGACCCTCATATTGACTTAGGAAACCACACAACATCTATGGTTCTGTGGAATTTCCGTTTATTTTGTTAAATATTTCCCAATTTTTCATAGCCAGCCACATGTTTGACACCTCTTATCTCCTCCAACCTTTTCATTTTATAGATGAGGAAACTGCGAGCCAGACAAGTGAAATGACTTACCCAAAGTCACAGAGTTCATCCCTCTCCTCACCTGGGCTAGATCCAGGTGTAACAACTCACTCTCCAGGACTCTGAAACATATACCATACTGCCTGTATCATGTCAAACAAAGTGGTATTGCCTCTATAGTGAGAGTAAAATGACAACTTCCTAACCCCATATTTTGATGAAATCATTACACTAAGTAATTTTGTAAAATATAATCGTGTTGATCACACATTTTTAATTGTTCTTTTCATATTTGACCTATATGTAGTCATAATTGTTCTTGTACCTTTAAAGCAACCTTGATTTGGGAATCTTCATAGTTGTAATAAATAGAAACTTTTTTTTCAACAAGTTTCTGACCCAATATGAAAGTATAAACTTCATTCTTCTTTCCAAGTCACTGTTACTTTGTTTTTTTCTTGTAAAGCAATTCTCCATTATTCTTTTAAAATGGGAGTTTATGGATGAAAAAACTGAAGTTAATCTTTTAGGTTTTGAATAAACCAAATCACCAAAAACCTAAGAGGTTTTTAAATTATCTCCTAGTTTCAAAATTATCTCTAATTGAGATTCCTAAGCCACCTTAGGATAGCTGCTTTAAAAACAAACAACTTGTTTGATTGCTCTTAAAAGAATTTTAAGAGTGGCTTATTAACCAACCTTGAATATCAGAATTGATTTATAAGACATTTGTCAAAAATATATGGATGGATGTATACATACATATACATATACATCCATTCATATACATATGTTTGTATATAGTCCTTGAATTTTAAAGCTGCCCAGTGCTGAAGTTGTCTAAGAGACAGATTTTTTTTTTGGTAAAGGTATTTGCTTATGACAATGTTGTGGGCCATTTTTCCAGTTAATAGATATAGACTTTTATCTCTCTATACAAACTCAGTCCTGTTCTAGCCAGCTGCGTTTAATGTGTTAACTTTGGCAACAGCACTCTTGTATGATGTCTTGCCAATAAAGTTATTGCAGTGGACTGGCCCCTGCCTGTACTATTCTGCCACCTCTAGCTTAAGGAGAAGAAAAAAAATATATGGTAAGAGTTGTCACTTTGCTGCCTAACCTTTGAGTAGGAGGAAAATTTGCATTATGGTAAACTTTTAAAAAGCCTTTCCAACATCTCAGAAGGCTTTTTTTCTTCCCCCATCAAATTGTATTCATAGAATTATAAATCTAGAATTGGAAGGGTCCTCAGAGGCCTGGCCCACTCATTTTACAGATGAGGAAACTGAGGCCCAGGAAGGTTAAGTGATTTTCCCAAGTACACAGTAAGCATCAGAGATGGGATTTGAAGTCAGGTCCTCTGATTGCAACCCCCCTGTTCTTTCTGCTATACCATAGCTACTAACCATGTTAATTTTTAAAGTTTAAATGTATCATTTATTTATTTAGCAGCTTAGATTTCATTTTTAGAAGTGCCAGAGAACAGTTAGTGGTAGAGAAAAGGGCAGGCCTATGTTGCTGAGGTCCATTGCTGCTAGTCAATGCTGAAAGCTATAGAACCATTTATTTTGCTCTTTTAAGAAAAGATCTGGAGGCTTAACTAGAGAACCCCAAGGGAGCATGGAAGGGGAGCCAGGGGCATCAAAGGAAGGAATATCCAGCCTCCCTCCCAACTGGGGCAGTAACTGATCTTTTCAAAACTAAGGCAGTCTATAAACCCTCTCCCCACCCCACCTCCCAACACACACACAGACTCACACTGGGCCTAGTGTGGATCCCTCTAAAGCGGGATAAGGGAGTAATATAATCAGAGATGTCACCAGGGAGTCTGGGTCACAAGTCACAATGGCTTTGGAGCAATGAAAGAGGAGGAAGGAGTCCAATTAGTTTCTACAGATGCTGCTCTCAGGCTTTGGCCCAACCAATTGCACCAAGCCAGAAGTCCCCAAACTTTCTTGTTTCATTGTACTCTTAGAGTCTCAATAATTTTTTCAGAACACTCTTAGACCAAAAAAAGACCTAACAGTTCTGTTTATTAGATATTTAGGGCCAAACAATACCTATTTAAGTACTAACAACTTAGTAGCTGTTTGGAAAAAATAATAGATATAAAATTTCATTCTTAACAACAATTACTGAGGGGATGTGTGTATCTATTGGGCACTACACAGCTTCTCAAACCCTAGAGTCAGGACGCCATCATCCTCCTTTTCTGTTCCACATTGATTTTCACATGGTACTTGCTTTTTATCACAGTAACCCCATTTAGCAAAGCTGCAGCTTCACAAATGAAAAAGTTCAAGAAGTTAATAGCCTAGAGAAAAGTGCAAGAAAACAAAAACATATCAAACATTTGAGAATGTAGAATGTAGCATGATCTGATTTTGAAGCTATGAACTACCTAGCACTGGTAATTCATATTCCGCTGCCAAGAATAATGTGGGAACTGAAGCACTAAACTCTTGCGAGGAGACCTGGGTCTGCCATTACTCCATGTTTCAGGGCAGTTTAGGTATTCTGTAGAGAGGGACATAGGTGAAGCTGGAAGGTGCTAAATTAGTCAGGAAACAGGAAGTTCCAGAATGGAAGTTTCCAAACTTAAATGATCCAAATCTAGGGGGTTTCAGGAAAGGATCAGGTCAGAAGAGAGGGATTCACTTAGCCTCTCAGCTTCAGTTTCCTCATCTGTAAAAGGGATAATAATACCACCTATGTCACAGGGTTATTGTGAAGACCAAATTAAATAACATGTAAAGGTTCTCTGCAAACTTTAAAGCACTACATAAATGTTAATTACTATTATCATCATGATCATCGTTACTATTACTGTTGACAAAATAGGAGGAAGAAAAGTGTCTAAGCTGCTTGTTGGAAGAGGAAGACTAAGCCTGACACACCTAAGTTTTTCAAGAATATGAAATCAACCTTATAGATTAATGCATCAGGCTTTTGATATATTCATTTGAATTTTAGAGACCATGATAGGACCTGCAATAAACTGTGTAACTAGGCCTTTTTTGTAGTAGTACATTTCTACATTTATCATGTAGGAGGAAAGTATGCTTTGTTATTTGACCCAACTAAAAGAAGCATGTTTTATGTAGAGCAATGTGGCACAGAACCTTTTTTACCCTTCAGTTCTCATGGCCTTAGATTATTAGTTCTAAAGAGCAAGAACTAAACATCTAATTTATGTATGATGTACTTTTCATGATTTACTGCATAAATGTACATGTAAAGCTATTATTGCCCTTTGTGTTCAGAAAGGCAATCTCAGATTTGCAGTCACTCAGCTAGAAAAAAAGTTAACCCTTCTTTGCCAAATGCTATTGTATATGTTAAAGTAAATATAGTAAAATAACCATTCGTTGCCAAATTGCAATTTTATGTATTATAGAAAATATGCTGATTATGCAACATTGTAATGGAAGTGAATTCTGTAAAATGAATTATTTCAAAAGAGGTAATATCAAAGGGAGAAAGGTGATTTATTGGGTACTCAAGCAAAATTCATTTGTGAAAACATAATCCCATTTCAGTAGCAGGGGGACTATTTCTGGAAAGAAGTGGTCAGGGAATAAGGAGGTTCTGATGGCAAGTGAATAGTTTATCTGACCTCACCTCCTCTTACAACAGTTTAGAACACTCTGTCATAGGTACTTCATTTGTCCACTCTTTTATCTATTTGAAGATCCCAAATAGCATACATATATTAACAGAGAGGCAGTATATTGGATTGAAAGATGGCCTCCAAATTGGAGAGTTTGAAGCTTTACTTCTGAAATATATTGGTTCATGTGACCCTAGGCAAATCCCTTTAGCCCTTCAGTGTCCTGGGTAATTCTTCAAGACTGCTAGTAACAGTCATTGGGTTCTGATCAGCATATGAAATCCAGTCCATTCCATTTATTCATATCAATAGTCAACAGTACTAGCTACTCTGATTCTTGAGTCATAAGATTAGTAGATTTAAGAGTTGAAAGGGATCACATGGTCCAACCCCTACTCTTGGAGTAAGAAGCCAAGACCCAGAGAAGATGCAACTGGAGCCTACCCATAAGAGGAT